AGTTAAAAAGCTGACGTTTCGAGCGTTAGCCCTTCGTCATTGCTCGTAAATAAGTGAGCAGAATGAAATGATCTTTAATGCTAAAACAGTATTGGTAAAACATAACTTAAGAGAGAAAGAAGAAAGATAAAAGAATGATTAAGGAATATAAAGAAAGATACAGGAATAAAAAGAAAATGAAGAAAAGGAAAAAAGAGAAGAACAAAAGCTCAAATTGGAGAAAAAAGAAACAGAGGATCATAGATGAGAAAGGTATTCCTTCCGTCAACCACATCCTCTATCTACATGACGATCGTCTTTGAGTAAACCTAGCTTTAACATTAGTTTTAGTGCGAAACACCCCACAAGCATGATTAATTTGTCTGCACAGCCTGTGCTTAGTAAAACTGATACACTGAAATTGAATTACACGAGTGTTACTTAAGCTCTTTATCGCAATGGTGTGGGAAGGTAATCTTACTTACATCTACGCGCTGAAGATACGATTGCCGTCATCAAAAGTAGTGTCCCAAACAGCAAAGTTGAAATTCTGAAAACGGAGTTCATCCTTTATAATGTGAAGCTCTTTCTTCCTTTAAGCTACTAAAGGTTATAATATGTAACAGTGACTGAAGAAACACCCGTATTTATAATGAAGAGTTCTTTGTTTTAGAATTGATTAGATATTTAGGCCATTGCCGCGAAAGCTATTTTTGTGCACAAAGGCTCGGTACTTGCATTGAAACATAAACATCAAAACTCAGTGAAAGATTGTTCAGAAGTATCTGGATCGACAACACCCCTTACCGTGGGCGATGTGTTTAAGCAGGAGTCTCTGTGGTGGGGCAGAGTTTGTCATTCAAAATCAGGGGCTTTACCGCCGGATGGGAAGAACAAAACATCTTACGCGATAAAGTGATCTCAATTTGATCCTCACAATCTGTGCCTAGCGTTTAGCATGACCAAGAAGTTATGCATTGTTGGCCATTGTCGGAAGAATACGTCATATTAAAGGCGTGCACAAGAGAATTAACAAATTTACTAGTATTTGTTACTGTAAGGTTTTTTTTTGCCGACAATATCGAATATTTGCTATCAATGAGTTCTCGATTATCACTTCCCGTGCTAGATAATTTGAAATAGATCATAACCGATTATAAACAGGGTCATGGGGAACTAAGTTCTCTCAGTTTATAATCTGTTGTCATTATGATGATTAAGATGATAAAGCCGCCTCCACAAGTTTTGCAACGCTGGTCTTTCCAGAGTTAACTAGTAAATGTCGGTCTGTAAACAAACACCTCGAAAGAATGTTCAGCTAGTTAATCGGCTTAGTGAAAACATAGCCCACGTGTCAGCGGCATCGGGAACGCGACATTCTTCCTAATAAAAAAAAAACGCACACACACAAAGATAATATTACCCCCTTGACGTCTCACTTGACCGCCGAAGCGAAATCATGATTTAACTTAAGAGATCGAGATCGTTGTTCAAATCCATTGGTGAATTGCTCCATATTTCGTTCCATGATAATAGTCCCGACAGCTTGGGATTTTTCCCTGGTCGTTTCTTTTCACCTAAAGCTAAACCTGTTGTGTTATGAAGTTCATTAAAGTGCTACCCACGCAAGGTTACGTTTTTCATAAAGAATTTAATTAAAGGTATTCTTGATTAAAGCTTCAACCTCTTGTTGGTTTTTTTAACCATCTTTAGATCAAAAGGAAAGTCGTGTAGACTCGAACAGACTTAAAAAAAAATTGTGTGATTTATCGATTCAATTTGGGATATCAGCTTTGGACTGTTACGTCACGAAAATAAAGGAAATAGTCGTCAACTCAAAAAGCTATTGTCTCAGCCATACAATAACAGAAGTTATTCGGGTGATATTTACCTTTTAGCAAATATAAAATACGGATTAACCAATTCTTACAGCTACTGAAAAAAACGCGCGAACAGCTGACAGAGTAAAGTTTCCGAGTGACTTTACAAGTCACGGATATTTCAATAAGGACAAGTTGCGGAGTGATATTTGACTGATGTTTACAGTTGACCGAGCAAGTGAGAACAATTGAATGAGTTATATCTATAAAAAGAATTATAAAAGACCACAAAAGGGTTATCAAAAATTGTAGGATCTCTTAGTCCAAGCGCTCTTTGAAATCCTATTTGTCGATTTTTAAGACTGAAGTAAACAACGGTACCCCCTTAAAAACCTCATTGGTCCATTTTGCAGTTTGTGAC